TATTTTTGCCTTTGTATTTGTGAGGCACTTTAGTTTCTTTTATTAGTCATTGTATATTGATTCTAGGGTGGGTTACTTGGAGAGTTTGACTCCATTTAACCTCCTTTGTTGATACACTCATTTTCTATTTTTTCAGTAGGAAAAAAGGGGTGGCATTTAGCAATGTTTAAGGGTGTGACTAGTAATTGGGCCAGAATTGGGCCTAGGAAAAATTTTACATATTGGACTCATTTTGCTCCTAAGTTTTCATAGATTGAGTCAGACAAAGCAATTCCCAACAATGTTTTGAATGAGACAAATATAATACATGTTGTTATTTCTAACGAGTGCGTTAGTGTTTTAGAAAAAACATAAGTACAGGAAAGATGAAGACTACAGCATGTGCCACTTCCTACACCCAAATCAAGTACACCTTCTTTTCTTTTATAACACTAGTGCAAAAAAGAGCTATTACGTCACCCTATTTATGTCACAAACTGAAAACCCCGACGTTATAAAAATACGGTGGCAGTTTGGTAAATATGGGAAGACTAATTTACGTCGAACAAAAGGGGTCCGACGTAAATTAGAGAATCCACGTCGGAGCTTACAGTGTCCGACGTAAATTTACGTCGGACCCCCCCTTGTCCGACGTAAATTTACGTCTGACCACCCCATTCGACGTAAATTTCCCCTAAAATAGACAACGTTACATTTTTCATTCCCGCGCGTCCCATTGTTTACGAAAAATATTACTTCTTCTCTCATTCTCTAAGTCTCCAAGTGCCTTTGTTTCCATATTTGACCTTTCTAAGTCTCTAAGAGTCTGTACATTACACGTTTGAGGTTAGTTTCTCCTCTACGCAATTTTTTGGTTCATTTTCTGCTATTTGTTTATCTGGAACGGGCCGTTCTGCTTAAATTTTTTGTATTGTAAATTGTTGATCTGGAACGGCCCGTTCTGATTTCTGTACGGGCTGTTCCAGATGCATTAAAGATGGACTTTTTTTAGGCATTGACCCTTTGTATTCGTTGTTTTTTTATTAGTTTTTTTGTTTCTATATTGTTATTAACTTTTTTACTTTATTTGTCTATTAAGTTAATTCGTTGTTTTAATAATGAGAGTTTAATTTTTTCAGGATTATGGAGGATTCAGGGTCTAGCAGTGGAAGGAGGGAGGGTAGATCTGTCACCCGATTTTCTGGGTCGACAGCTGGACGCATTGCGAAGGAGAGGACACCGGTTGAGGCTACCACTCAGTAAAAGATAATGCCTTTGTAGCTACAATGCCAGGAAAAGTAAAAATATACCTAGGTTATGATTGAAGTCAGACATAAAAGTGAACAAACGGTACAAAAGACTTCACGTAACTCATATTTGGCAAGCAAACATTTAATGCAAGATCAAATGCATTAAGTACAAGATCTACGAAGCCTGGACGAACTAAACAAGAAAATTAAATGATGGTTGGTCAAGCAACAAGACTAGGTCTGATCAAAAGACGGAAGAACATTTAACAAACACTAGATGAGGCCTACTACAAGTCAAAACCTTGAAGTATCAAACGAAAGGCTAAAACAAGGCTAAATCTAGAACAAGACAAAAATGGGTTAAACATCAGATGATGCCTAATGGTCAACTCAAATAAAGAATAGTCAAGGCAAGACACATCATGAGAATTAGACAAACCAGGCCAACTGAATAGATAAAGTATGAAATGTGCGCTAGACGACTATAAGTCTAATATCAGCGAAGGTGTGTCAAGGACAACCTCAAGTGCAACATAAAAAATTAGACGAAGCATTGGTCAACAATTAGAAGAAAGTCTACTATGCATAAGACGAAGGACAATACAAATTAAAAGATATTTCAGAGAAAACAAATTCTGTCTATCTATAATGTTGATTAGACTAAAAGTAAGTCAAAGAATTAATGTCAAATGCTCAGACGAAGAATAAGACTTGAGATGCATATGGAATACCAGACATAGACGAAGACTGCCACGCAAGCATTTAAAGAATCAAGTTTCAAAGGGCAAATTAGGCATCGTCCACGATCATATAAAAGCTCTCAACATGATCGCGTGATTAAAAGAAGAGAAGAAGAAGAAGAAAAGCACACAAAAGAAAAAGCAGGCATGTGTAAGAAAAAGTACATTATTTTTTCAGATAAGGACAACGCTATACAGCTAAGCGACCAGAAAAGGACAAAAAGGTTCCTAGTTCTTTGCTAAACTTAGACACAATTGCTAACAAAGTATAGAAAACTTCACGCAATGTCTATAAATTTTGATACCAACACAGAGGAGTTCTACATCTCCTGCCATACAACGGCGCCATCCCAATACTAGCATGAAAGCTATTATTGTAAGTAAACTCAACTAGCGATAGGACCTCCTCCCAGCTCCCCAAGTGATCTAACACACAAGCCCTCAACAGATCCTCCAAGGACTAGATTGTCCTCTCTGACTGACCATCCGTCTGCAGATGATAAGTAGAACTCAGCTTCAACTTCGTGCCTAAGGCTTGATGTAGACTCTGCCAAAATCTAAAAGTGAACCTCGGATCTCTGTTTGAAATAATACTGGAAGGCACCCCGTGCAACCGTACTATTTTCCTCATATACAATTGTGTCAGCTTCTCCAAGGACCACTTGATGTTGACAGGCAAGAAATGCACACACTTGGTCAACCGATCAACAATCAACCAGATAGCATCACTATTCCTAGCTGACCTAGGCAACCCGACGATGAAGTCCATAGTGACACTATCCCACTTCCATTCCGGAATCTCCATCTGCTACATCAAACCACTCGGCTTCTGATGCTCCACCTTCGTCTTCTGACAGGTCAGACAGGCCGCCACATATTCAACTATGTCCCTCTTCATATCAGACCACCAAAAAGTCTTATTGAGGTCTTGGTACATCTTAGTCATACTAGGATGTATGCTAAGTCTGCTCTTGTGGCCTTCCTCCAACACAGCTTTCTTCAACTGAAGACTCACGAAGAGATATATACATGGCTCTATACATTGACGGGTTAGTTTTTAAATTGTTTTTTAATCATGGTAATTTTATACCTAATTTGTTTGCCATACAATGTAGGTCCCATTGGCAGTTAATGGTAATCATTCCTAAGGAATACACCGTGGTGTGGTTTTGTTCACTACATCGAAAATCAAGCCACGATATTAAATGCCAATTACAAGGATAACTAAAATTTTTCATTATCTTTTAAAACCGTAATTATATATATTGGCTAACATCGATTTTTATTTCAATAGAATCGTGTCTGGAGCTAATATTTTAAGTGGAAGAAGCAGATCATCAAAGACATTGCACTTCATATACCCTATGGTTAGCAAATTAATTAATACAGTCAATAATATTTAAATTTATATTCAATGGAAATAATAGTTATTTGTTTTTCATTTTAGTGTAATAAGAAATAAGACTCGTTTGAATGTGGCTATTACATCATGTATTGGATGAGAGCCATAGTTTCTGCGGGTATTACTAATTCTTGGACGCAGGTAATTCATATCAAAATTTATTTAAGTATATTTACCTTTATGATAATTAACATTGCATATTAATGACACTTAAATTAATGTTTCAGGTCTTTCGAGATCCATCTCCATTTCCCGAAGATGAGATGATCAAGATAAGAGAACAATGGACAACTTTTTTTCTTCAAAGTATATAATAGTTATAGATTTCTAAGTTTAGTTAGTTAGATATTATGTTTATAGTTTGATAGTATTGACAAACATATGTTTTATAGTTTTTTTAGGATAATAGGATTTGCATTGTCATAATTTATGCTTTTTGAAGATTTATATATTATTTTCTTTTTTTCATTCAATTTTGAAATATAATTTGAATTTCTATTCTGGACTGCCTGATTTAGGTTTGATATTCTAGACTATATATATATGCAGGTGTTGGGTATATCAAAAATTAATAAACGTTTAAAAAAAACCCATAATTTACGTCGGACAAGACCATGTCTGATGTAAATTTACGTCAGGCCTAGCGTTGGCCGACGTAAATTTATGTCGGGCATGGTCTTGTCCGACGTAAATTATGGCATGTTTTTAGGCCCCTTTTTACGTCGAGCTAGCTAAATCTCCGACGTAAATTTACGTCATCTTTGACAGGCGACGTAAATTTACGTCTCCCGTATTAACGTCGGATGCTTTTCCAACGTAAAAGGGGTCTTTTGTACTAGTGTAAGTATTTCTATTAAACACTACAAAAAACTTGTTTGTTTGCGGCGATTTTTTAGTAAGAGCGGCGGCGGTTTTGACCGCCACAAAATTATATAAAATTATATTGCGGCGGTTTAGAAACTGTCGCAATGTCATACATAGAGGGTTCATTTTGCGGTGATTTTCTAAACAGCCACACAAACAGCCGCAACATATTTGATAAAATTGTGGAAGTTATGAAAATGTCGCTATTTTGAAAACTGATACTAGTTAAAAATTAGCGGCAATTTTTAACCGCCGCAAATGTAAACGTACATTTTACAGTAGTTTGTAACTGCCACAATCTATTTTTATCCAATTTGCAAATAGAAGCATCATTCATTAACTAAAAATATTAAATCCAAATTTAGTACATAATAGATTTGCATCTTTCAAACATAGAAATGATCCTTAAAATTAAGAAACTTAGGTACATAAAAATAACGAAAATATAAAGATGGTCCTAAAAGCTCCTAACAAACTATAATTGAAGCAACTCTAAATAGTCTCTCATGATGACCCTCCATTGTCTTCAGGAACATGGCTAGACTCAGAAGAACGTCTCGAATTTGCTGGAGATTCCAATTCATCTGCTTGAAATTAAAATAATTACAACTTAGATTCAAACTTTTACTAGGACAATAAAATTTACGAATTTTTAAAGACTTTATTTTATACCTGATTTCCTTTAACAATTTGCATAAGGATAACTAATTGTTCCTTCAAAATATCAACTTCACCAACTCGTGCCTTAAGCGCTTCAACTTTAGATTACAATTGTGCTATCGTGGCTGCATCTGATGAAGATCCAGACCTTGTAGAGGAAGAATATGATCCAATGATTTGAGTCAGAGTTACCCCAAGTTCCATGCCTCGAACATATCCGGGATGCCCCTTTCTAAACACTTTCAAGAATGCCTCATTCTCAGAAGAAGTCTCCTGAATTTCATTATGCAATTGTTCCTACATATAATGTTGAATATATATATAAATAGTAAAAGATTACTTATCTGAGTGAAGAGCAAATGGTAATTGAAAATTACAAATAATATATTATACTCATTTTTCTCTAGCATCTTCGCTAACAAATGATCCATCCTTCTTTTTTATGAGCAATAGGATACATATCTCCTCTACTATAACGTCGTCCATATTGCACTTCCTAACATTTTGCACCATTCCAAAAGTAATTATACAAACAATTCATTTTTTAGTTTCTTCAAACAAAATAGACTAAATGAACTTTTCATACCAACTCATCCTTTTTTCTTGCTAATGTCTTTGATCCTAGAGTGTGTGGGATCAATAGCTTTTCACGGTTTGCTACATTTTTATCAGATATCTCCTATATTTAACAAAATTGAAAGTCAATATATGTAACCAAACTTATAACCAATGGAAGATGAAAACATATTACCATTTGTTTAGGACTTGTCCTAAATTGTACAAAAAGCCTCCAATGATCTTGGTCAATATCTGGTGGGTGCATCTGACAATTTTCTTCCACAGAAATCTTCCAGTTATAATTTTTGTGAAACAACCTACATCGAGTATCCCTCCATTTCTTTCCCAAGTTAGCTAAGATATATTTCTTATGCTCTTGATCATTTACATCAAATTTTGCCTTTACCACAATATAATGAAAGTTATCATTAGTACACAAATTCCACAAGAAATCACATGTGCAATCAATTATAATTGATACCTTTATAGTTTCTTTATAAACATTGTTTTTTGTAATCTTTTGGAACCTTCTTCCAAGTCTCATACATTATGGGGAAATTACTAAAGTTGCTTACAATTTCACCCAAAAATCCTGCTAATAAACCAACATACTCTCCTATTGGTTGACCTTCAGCATTCCACTTGGTACACACCTTAGTGGCATCACGTGATGCAAACACATCTTGCACCCTTAAACGTGTTTGCCTAACAACACCTTCCTCATCTAACATGTAAATAAACCAAACATCAACAACCCAACAAGTTCTACAATAAATAATAATAAGTAATAAAGATTAGATTAAACATACTAATAACATTAACATTCCAATAGGTAGGGGATTTTTTCTGAGCCACTGATGAATCTTCAACTACATCAGATTCATGGTGTGTCGACCTCCTAGATCCGGTGCAAGTGGGCGAAGTAGCATGTATGTCATCTTGAGAAGATGATTCAATGTTTGGCATGGGCTCACTTTGAGGTAGTTGAACCTCTACACTTTGATGAGTGCCCATGGAGGAATTGTTTTCTTCATTCGGTGTGGATCGACACCTAGCCACAACATGTCTTCTTGTACGAGGCATACCTGCATAAACCAGTCTTTTGTCTTTAATAACTAAAAGTAGAAGACAAACATATAGCTACTACAAAGTTTAAACCAAGCAACAATATCTTTTGCAAAACAAATTGAGATTTCTTACTCATGACTCTTATTAAACCATATCTTGATTATCTTCATCAAAATTTTCATTAATGGTTGAATTTTCAGGATCATCATCTATAGTCACTCTTGCCAATTGTATATGTGTGGCATCATCAGGAAATATTTGTTCCAAGTTCTGTGATGGGTATGCCTCAATGGATGCCATAAATTCTTCATCATCTTCACCCATGTCATAAAAGTCTCTAGGTTTCAAATGAATTGGTATGCTCCAACCTTGTTCTTTCTCATCCTCTACATAATAAACCATTTGAGCTTCAGAAGCTTTAATGTATGGTTCATCATCATCTTTTTCACCAGTATGTATTAGTCTTGCAAAGTTAATAGAGATAAAACCCAATTTGTCTTCCTTCATGCCTCTTGAAGTAGTGGTGTCAGCCCATTGACATTTAAACATAGGTACTGTGAACCCATTATAGAAAATCTCAATGATATCTATCAATCTTCCATAATATGGCACCCCTCCAAATCGCATTTGGGCATCATTATTGCTTGAGTAGCTTCTTGTTCCAAATGTTCCAAAAACTCCACTATTTTGAGTTTTTAAAAATTTGTCTCGTGTTAAGGTTTGAAATTTGTGTCCATTAACATTAAATGCCGTGAACCTTCTAGCTCGGTCAAAAGGACCTTGCGCAAGACTAAAAAGAACATCTCTACCTGGTTCGTTAAGACTGTCAAGATTATTTCCAACCTAATGCCATAATACATATTGTTAGTCAAATTCTTATTAAAAATAAATATATTGAACTTGGAATGCATAAGCACTTACGCGATTAGAAAACCAACGAACAAAATCTCTATGAACCTTCTTGTCTACCTCAGCAACATTCCTTGCACCACCCCTTAGCTGCTTTCGTACAATATTTCTAAATTGCCTATTTGGTTATATCATATTAGATATACGGAAAAAAAAAGAGAACTTAATAATTCATTCAAGTAAAATAATTACTTACTGAAGATAGTAGTCAACCACAGGGCAATTTGTTAACACATGTCTAAGAGCTTGTAACTTCTCCTTGGGGGTAAGGGTAAAAAATGAAGAGCCACCAACAGGTTTTCCAACCACGGGAAATAATTCACCTATTTGTGATTCAGATTGTCTATAATAAGGCTCATCATCTACACGACCAGGTCAATTCCATCTTGTCTCAATGTTATCTAAATACCTTGAACAAAATGTAAGAATCTCTTGCACAAGGTAGCCTTCTGCTATAGAGCCTTCCGGTTGTGCTTTATTACATACATAAGATTTTAGTTGCCCCAAGTACCTATTATTAAGCCACAATCAATTTAATTTGGATGAATGTGTTTTATTACTAAAATGATATAATAAGAAGAAACACCAGCACACATTTTTTACCTTTCTATAGGATACATCCATCGATAATGAACAGGACCTCCAAGTTTGGTTTCTTCAACAAGGTGAACAACCAAGTGAAGCATAACAGTGAAGAATGAAGGAGGAAATAACATTTCCATGTGGCATAAAGTGGAGACAATTTGATTTTGCAATTTGTCTAAATCTTTAATTTTCAACACTTTACCACATAATTGTCTGAAGAATGAGCAAAACTCAATTAATATTGCTGAAACCTTATCAGGCAATGCTGTCCGCATGGCTAATGGTAGGAATTGCTCCATCAATACATGAGAATCATGACTTTTCAACATTCCATTCAATTTAAGGTTATCCAAGTCAATGCATCTAGAAATGTTGCTAGAATAACCATCTGGCACGGTGATATTCTTTAGAGTTGTTAAAAATGCCTTCTTTCCTTTGTTAGTCAATGTAAAGATAGCTAAAGGATACTTTCCATGTTCATTTGGCCAAAGTTCAGGTCTAATACCCATAGCTTGCAAGTCTTTTCTCGCATTAACATTGTCTTTTGTCTTTACACTATCATTTAACAAAGTATATATGACATTGTCGCACACGTTCTTCTCAATATGCATCATGTCAAGATTGTGACGTAAACAATTATCCTTCCAATATGGAAGTTCAAAAAATATTCTTTTCTTTTTCCACTGTTGAGTGGAACTTTGTGGAAGATGTCCACCTCGGGTTCTTTTTCTTGTCCCTTCTTGCACTGATATTCTACCAAATGTGACATTGATATTCTGAACCTGTTCAAGAATTTCAAAACCAGATAATGCTTTCGGTGAACTACGCAGATCTTTCTCACCATTAAAGCGGATCCTGTTCAATCTAAATCTGTGTTTCTGATCAAGAAATCGACGATGACCCATGAAACACCATTTCCTGCTATAAGGAAGATGACAGGGAATAAAGTCAAAGTTACAAGATGGACAAGCAAGTCTGGTGTAAGTATTCCACCTAGAAAGTGTTCTAGCCCAGGAAAATCACTAATCGTCCACATCAAAGCTACATGTAATTTAAACATTTCTCGCTTGAAAGAATCATACGCATCCACACCTGTTGTCCACAACTCCTTCAACTCTTTGATTAAAGGTTGTAGGTAGACATCTATATTATTTCCTGGCATTTTTTTACCAGGAATTATCATTGAAATTATAAAAGATGTTTGCTTCATGCATACCCATGGTGGAGTGTTGTATGGAATGAGAATTACTGGCCAAATGCTATAACTTGAACTCATAACACCAAAATGATCAAAACCATCAGTACTAATGCAAGACGCACATTTCATGAATCAGATGCAAACCAAGGGTGTGTCAAGTCAAACCACTTCCAAGCTTCACAATCTCTAGGATGCCTCATCATTCCATCATTTTTACTATTGACATCATGCCATCTCATATTCTCAGCTGTTTTTGATGACTGAAACAATCTTTGTAACTGGGATTTCAATGGAAAGTAACGAAGTACTTTTGCAGGCACTTTCTTCATACTATTGTCATCATCAGATAACCTAAACTTATTTATTTTTGCCCTTGATTTCCACCTTGAAGTGTTACAAACTTTGCATGTCTCCCTCTCTTCATCTTCCCTGTTGCCCCAGTAAAGCATACAATGTATCTTTTCATAGTTCAAACGAAGCTTGTTGATTATTTTCTTTGCCTCGTAGAATGAACTTGGAATGTTTGCATGTTCAAAGGCATCTTTCAGAAGTTCTAAAATCATTGTCATGGCTTTATCGCTCATCCCACACAAGAATTTGATATGATATAACTTCACCAAAAAGGACAATCTTGAATACTTTGTGCACCCTTCGCACAAGGGTTGTTCCCCATCTCTTGCTAATTCATAAAACTCATTAGCTTCACGCCTTTATTTAGATGCATTTGGCATCATTTCTTCATCTCTATCAATCTCTACATTTGACACAATGGGTACTTCATTTCCATGGGGCCTATCAACTCCAAAAGCATCATTAATCATGTTTTGAATAGGATCTTCAATATCAGTGGCATCTTGGTCTACATTTGGAGTATTACTAGTTTCTCCTATCCTTCTTTCCCCATGATGAGTCCAACTTGTATACCCACATGGAAACGGTGTACAAATTAAATGATCATACACCACATATTATTTTGTCATTTATTGAACTGTGTTCAAAAGCAAAATAAATAAATCCCCTAACTCCTTGCTCATACTCAATTGTGTTTCGCGGCTTCATAATCCATGACTTATCCATTGCTTCAAAATTGTAAAATGATACACTCCCACTAGCATAGAGACTTTGAATAAAGATAAAGTCCTAAATTTCAGGGTGTTGGGAGAGAAATAAATTATAGTAAATGGAGCTTGAAATTAGATTAATCCATATGCAGTAACATTGTCATTAATCCAAAACAACTCCATTTTTATTTTATTTTATCAACATTCAAAAGGTAATCATTCACAATATTAGTTTACCTAATGAAGAGAAATATGTAAAACACATGCACAAGATCCTAACCATAAAAGATGTCTCAATTATTGAAAAAATACAAATTATAAAAGGAACAAAAAATACATATGGATCCTTGGATGATTAAATTCCATTACATAAAACTTAAGTCACTTTTCAAATACATATGAATTTTTCCTCCTTTTAAGCAGAGTAATCTCTTAAATGCAGTAGGTTGTTAAAATAAATTCAAAATATAACAATCTTAATTTATTTGATATAATGAAAAATTGTTTGATGGCTAGTAGTTTACATTACAAGACTTTCAATTATTCAAGTCTGAGTAGAATTTACCTTTAGGATGATGTACTTCTTGCCTCCTTTTTTCTCGTATTTCAAAGTAACCCTTTCTTGGCTGTTCATAAAAAAGATATGAAAGGGTGTTAAAGTTGAACCAACCAATCTGTTGAAATCACTAAACTTCTATTTGTGCTTGGCTAGGTTAATTTATCATGTGACAACTACTGTGTAAACTAAACTAGACTAGACTATAAGAAACTAAACTAATTTTTATAAAAACTAGACTAAAACAGATATGTTCTCTTCTAAACTAATTTTTATAAAAACTAGACTAAACTAATTTTTATAAAAAACTAAACTAATTTTTATAAAAAAAAAAACTAAACTATATTCTCGTATTTTCTTCAAGTGCCTTGTTCAAGTGTTGAAGACATACCTTTTAGAAAACAGATATGTTCTTGGGAGGACAAACACTTTCAAATGTACTCAGGAAACAAATTTTAGAAAGCAGAAAACTGATTCTGAAAACAGTAAACAAACAAGGCATTAGTTTCAACATGAGGAAAACTATATGAATATTTTCTCTTTAGAATTTATCAACTAATATTAACCGTGTTATAAGGGAAATGTTTAGAAAGAAAATAGATGAGACATGCATTGTTTTCTTTTAAATTTAGCTACAATAGAATTTGGAAGAGTTAAAGGCAAAATTCATAATATTGATCAATCAGAGGTCATATATAACTTACTA